CMAAAWWWTTKKTKSMAMMWYCSRMMAAWYMAWTTTTTTCTTCTAATATTTATCTTACAAATTATATTAGAAAAATTAATCACAGGCAAAAATTCCACAGTAGAGCGAAATCAAAGCACAGATGTATTTCCGGCAATTTTGTCATACGACGCGCGTTTTGTAATAAAAAAGGGAAACAAGATGACTGTTTTCTTTGATATTTTGACAACAAGAAAAAGATGATACTGTATTGGAAATGCTGCAATAATATGGGGAAAAGCAACGATCTAGGTGAACTTCTTTTTTCGAAAAGTGTGGACATTTTCAAACCAAGCTAAGAAATCCCAGCAGCACTGTGCAGTTTTCTGTCATGTGAAGTTCGAGTAGGCCGGGTTGAAACATCGGTCTTTTGCCGTGTTTTAATCTGATCGACTATAAGTTTCTTATGTAGACTATTTTTGCCGAGAGGTTTTCAGTTTACGTAAATCAATTGACATTTTTATAGATTATATTAAGACTTCGTCCAACTGAACAAAACCTACCAAAGTCAATAAAAATTCAGCGTACGAAATTCTCGTAAACATACCCCAGCTTTCTTTTGTATAACCTTCCTATTGAGCTAAGCTTAATATAACAAATATGTTTATAATATTTGTTCGCATATCAATAAAAGATGTTGTGTTTGGAGCTATTAGATGTTACCTAATTTCTATATTTTACCAATTTAAAGGAAATTCAGTACAGATCATTCCTATATAGAATAGGATATTTAACAATTAGACCTCGAGGTCGAGTAGACTACGAGCTAATAGCCCATGAGGCCGAGTCCGCGAGGCCGAATGGGCTATTAGCTCGTAGTCCACGAGGCCGAGAGGTCTAATTGTGTTAGTATAAACATACTAATCGGTCAGATAATGAAAACAAATTGAAATATCCTTAAAATAATTTATAATTTATTCATTTTGATTTTCCCGCTAGTGGTCTATCACAAATTAGACCATTAGTAGAGTAGCCAATCACAGCGCAGTATGAGTGATAGACCATTAGTATGTTTATACTAAAATACATTATGTGTCTCAATAGTAGAATCAAATAATGATACTTCAATACCTTGCGACATTTGACACGATGTACTTATGTCACTGTGTTATATCAAAGGATGTGCGATGGATATTACATAGACACATATGTTGTGAGACATCGAAATAAAAGGGAGATATAATTGTCACTAGTATAGTCATCAATTATGAAATTAAACGTATTTTATAAATTTTTCTTTTAAAAAGTCTCATAACAATATGATTAAATGCTGCTCGTTGAAATTCAATCATCAATCAACAGATGGACCAGACCAAGGCTAAATGCCCTTTATTCGACGGAGGTAAAGCAACTGGAACATGCGGAAATMAGGTAGGAGAACTTATCCCCATACTSGGCTTTGCACTCATCATGATATCCCCTCATTCTATTTTTAAACTTTGAGTTATTTGTCCTGACATACTTTGTAATATTTGCTGCACCTCATCTCCTCAAAGGACATTTTTAAAGCTGTCAATCTTCTTAAATGACACTCAACCATTATTAATAAAACTGTTTTCCGTTTCCCTAAAACAGACTTGAACAGTATATTTGGGCTTTGTTTGGGAAAATGACTTGTTCTCCGTTCAGTTGATCGGTATCATTGTCCTCGTATCATGGTCAGGTTAATCTTTTCGATTTGTTGAAACGTGACTTTTTGTTGAATTCTTCTACGGTTTTTATCGTCCTTTTAATCATTTTCTTTTCAATGCCTGCATTAAGTAATGTATATATAACCTCTTGCATTTTCTCGGATTGATCAATCGATAATCAGGGCCGTAGCCACCAATTTTCTGTTGGTTCGGTTTTTGGAAAATAGGTGTGCGTGTTGTTAGACTACGCCTCCCTGACATTTAGTTAATACAATGTTAATAAGTTAATAGTAGATTTCAGTTTTAAGTGATTCATTAGCAGTTTTATAGTTTGGTCTAGAAATTGAAATATGTCAAGTCATGTACTTGTAGTTTTAGATTACCAGKAAAAATAGTTTTGAATTACTAGTAGCTTTTAAGAAAATTAAAATGTCCAGCAATTTTCATGTTGTAGGGTTAAAATCAATACTGAATTTACAGAATGATTTTGAAATGT